TGTGTTTGCCACTAACCAACACTTGTCATTTGTCATTATTAAAGAGAGAATGCCAACATTAAATCATGCCTTCACGGTGTGATTCACAACGAGCCTTCAAGTAATATTTCTGTGTTTATAACTGAGGTCAGTTCATGACAAAACAGTTTAAATCACTTTTATTCCTAATTCGCTTTATTTATTACTACCAAATATGCATAATGTCAGTTCTTCCTGGAGCCACAAACCACCTCAACTGGCAGGGGAATTTCAATTGTTGCGTGTTATCTTCCTCAGCGCCAAATTAACAATATTGTCGCTCATAAGGGATTACATTTGCACAAATCACATCCTTTGTCTTTCTTCATTTCTGTTTTTATCTCTGTTTCCCCCCCCCCCCCACACTTTCTGTCTTAACCTCTGCCTGATAGCCCAGAGGAAATCATGTTGATGTCTTTCCCTTGATCTGAAATGTGTTAGTGTACGATGTGTTTTCCCTGCAGCGCGTCACTCTGCCATTCTGCTTGTCCTATTCAATTGTATTGTTATATTTTTACCCGGGCTTGGATGAAATGTATATCTATATGCAGCTTGATTATTATACAGTTCAGTTGGTATTGCCCCTTTTGTGCCTGTGAGTGCCAAACTTTACATTTCAGCTGTGATTGGACAGCAGTCATGAAATCATGTGTGGATTATTAGAAGGGAAGTTCTTCATCACTTCTGATTGTGTTTTGGCCCAAATAAGACATAAATGTTAACATACAGAGATGTGCATTTATCTGTCTGACTGGCCAACTCTTCCCTGTTATTCCTCAAACAAGCTTCACTTTTATGTAACTCCTCAGAAACAGATGACTCAGTGGGTGTCCTTCTCTCCTTTCTTTGTTCAAATATCTCATAATTAGCCAATTTCTTGCCAGCTATTTATTCTTTTCATCAACTCCTTTCTTTTTGTTTTTTGCAGAAGTGGATGGATTATTCTCTTCCAAATACCTTCTTCTCATTCCTCAGACGTTTCTCCCTGTAATGATGTGTGAATCGAGAGATGGAGTTGTGTCTTTTGCAAAGCAATATTCCAGCTGGATTGCAAGAGTTACCCATAGCCAGCATCGATATCAGAAATGAGAACATCCGTTGGCTTTCGATATGAAAAGTATAACACAGATTTGATTGCCAGCAAGAGGGATAAATCAACATTCGTGCAGGAGCAGGCCGACTGTTGACAGGCCACACAGACGCACAAATATACACCAAATAATCCAGCCTGTATATATGAGAGATGGAGGATGTGTGGTAGACAGATCCAAAATGCAGACTCGCTGAAAAAAAGATGACTTGAGTTCTATTTAGTTCGACTTTGGTATCTGAAATGTTGGAAGGCATTCGAGTAGATGTTTATTTGCTTTTAAAGATTCCAAGTTAATATGTTTTTGGTTAGAGACTTCTCATTTCCTGTCATGTTGGGATAGAACAAGATCTCTTTCAATGTGCTCCTCTGACAGTATCTGTGTATTTGTGTCTGTGAGAGATTCTCAACTTGTGGTTAAGTCAATAGAGAAGAGTGTTTGCTGTGGCTTAATGCCCAGACAACTTGGAGATAGAAACACGGTTGAACCCAAATCTCATGCATCACTGCTTCGTACAGGTAGAGTGTGCATGCAAAAGTAGAAGCTGATGAAACTGAAAGACACATACCAGCTGCACTACATAAACAAATCGGAGCCAGCGCTCAGATCTCGTCATCAGGCGATCATTTTCACTGCCTGTAAACCTCCCAGGAAACACAATCTGTTCTAAACTTTCTTGGCCCTTATTCGATTACCAAGAAGAGGGACAGGTCAACATTCCAGGATGGAACAGTCACACACATAGACAATAAGAGGTTTCATGACGATGACCGAACCCTCAAACAAACACATTGCTGTTATTGTAGTGAAAGTCAAAGATCACGGATATCTACCATTTACCATTTACCATATCTGGGATCTGTGGTTTTGGACCGATACAAAAAACAAGGACAAAACTGATTCGGACAATATCAAAACTATAATCGCTTCCCATGTCAATCATGACATGTGGGTGTACTTATATGTATACGTTTCCTGCTCATTTTAACCAAGAGACTCCTAGAAAGTCCCTAATGCTACCCCAACTTGGCAAGTCTAAGGACATGAGAGCTGAGAAACCGCAGGTATAGTTAGTGTTTTCTTTGGTTCTGTTTTCCTTTTCATTGCAAGGTCAGCATCACCATCTTCAACACTTCACAGAACCAGCTTCAAATAGAAAGTGGCAGTTTTTGGAGTGAAGCTGAAACCATGAATGTTTTGCTGGAATAAATATTTCATGAAGGATGAAATGTGAAAAAGGCTATATTTGAGTGCACTGTGAGTGTGTGTGTGCCTGCGTGCACAATGCTACGGGTCATTATGATAATTTAAGGCTGTGGCAAAGTTATTATTTTCTGCTGAAGTGCAGATTCAGACATGCTGGAAGACTTAAATGAGATGTAATATGAAGGCATCTTCTTTCTCAATATGGAAAGGAATGCATGCACTCTGCCATGATAGACATTTAAAATGAAACAACTCTGTAGTTTTCTTCAGCTTGCTTGCATCTGTAGGAAACTAAAATAAAACCTTCATAAAACCAAGACCTAACTTTTTCCTATTCCACCTCGCATCTATCGCTCCTGTTAACATATATACTCTACAATCTGTGACATAAATAATGTACATACATACACACTAACTAGCTGAAGCCACTACTTCACCACAGATCCAGGCTGCTCCTTTGTTATGTTGATGTCAGTCTAAACAATATGGTCCAGAAAATAATATATCGACAACTATTAGATGGATTGTATGAAGTTTGGAAACTGCCTTTGTGTAAACCTTATTAAATGCTCACATACAGTAACATGCTGTGAGTATGTTGACTAAGGTCAAACAAACAAAGCTGAGGGTTTATCAAACTGAGAGAGGCTGAGTTTGATAAACATTTTTCATTTAAGTAACGCAATGTCTTCAGCTGACCCACCATCACATTTTCAAAATGTGCTGCCCCTTCATAGGAAGACAGCAGAATTGTGTTGAAAATGCCCCAAATGACTTCCTCTACGTGAACATTGACCTTAAAAGGGTCTTTCTTCGTCATGTGAATTATTAATCAATCTATCAGGCGAAACAAGCCAGAGCAGCTTCAAAATCTTAGGGATGCAGCAGGGAGTAAATGGGTCAACAAAGTGTGGCTTACTACGATCACACATCCCAAACCAATCGATGTTCCATGATGGCGAGATTTCTTAGCCTTATCTATTGGTGACAGATCAGTAAATTCTAATATTAAACCTTTTCCCAAGTCATTTCTAACAGTATTCCGTTTTTTAAAGGTAAAAATCTAAGTTTCCAGCAGTACAGTATTCTTGTATGCAATGAGAAATACACCCTCATATGGTTGTTAGAGATCTTAGCTCCACAAATTATGCACATATAATGAACACATGATAATGAGCTCTACTTCTGAATAGGTTCCCTAGGCTTATGGTTTATGTGATGGTGAGTTTGTACCAGTTTGTGTGTCTGTGTGACTGGAAGCCTCGAAAAGAAAATACACTGTAGAATGTGTAATACACACACATGCATACAGAAACTTGTAAATGTGAGTATAAATACACACAGCCCAAAGGGAACCTCAGCCAGAATGTGATTAGATACATATCTTTTCAAGCAAGTCGGAGAAAGCAGCAGGATCCTGGCGAATGAGATTAGTTTAGCATAATTCTCATTTTATTAAACCTCTTCCATCTTATTTTTGGATTCTGTTTCTATTCATAATAGTTGTTTACTGCTGTGTCTTAGTGGATATATTTGTTTATACATTTGAGCATATCTGCCTGAAATGTGATTCCTCTGGGGAATGTGTATTAGTGATAGAGAAAGTGCCTATTTTCAGCACGAAAGTGCACGTATTTTCACACCTCAAACAGGTAGCAGAAAATGGGAGTTTTACACCAAAAATAGCCTTACAAAGTGACTTCACCCGCTGTCTTATTTCAAAGTATTTTATCTCATCTAAACATTTCCCTGTCCTTTGGAGCGTCGAGAGCGTTAAACCTGAGCTTTCATAATGGCTGCAGCTTTTTCTTTAGTGATATTTGTGAAGGAATCAAAAAAAAAAGTCAACCTTGTAAAAAAATCAAGTGGTGTAAGACCTTGATCTGCTCGGGAACTGGAAAAGGGAAAACGTGGAAATATAAAACACCCAAGTGGGCTCTGATAAATGTTTAATATGAGCTCCTTCTGATGGTGCATTAAACATATGGGCTATGGTCAACACAGCATGACAACTTTGCACCAAGGATGGCAGAGTTGGCTAGGGATTACGAGCAATGTGTTAATATAACATAGGCTTCAAATAAAATACATTTGAGATTGATAAAATAAGATTTATGTCCTTGGGGGCATTTTCCTTCACTGGTGATTTAATACTGAACTCGTATTTTTTTTTTTTAAACCTCTGGTATCAGTATAGCACTTCTGAATGCTACTCTTATTGAGCTTTGCTTTGATAATACTCTCGCAAAAGATTCTATAGTAAAGCTACAGTACTCAATGTGTGAAGGATTGCATCTGTAAACATTACATTTGATTATTTATGTGCCTGTTGTCTATCCTTCAAGTGAAGAACTGAGGTGCTTGACTGGTCGCAAACAGAAACCGAAATCTATAGGCACGTGTTTGAATGATTAATGATCAATGAAATTATTAATACCCCACAAAAAGAGGTACAACCTTAACAAAATGAATATTTCCGTTACCACTGTTAAGTTTTTTAAAAGTCTGACCTTGAGGACTGAAAAGGACTGAGGGCAAATAATGTTCGGTTTGTGCTTTTTTTTTTTTTTTAAATGCATGTAGCCTAATTAGCATATTCCCGTCCCTGCAAATCTAGTCGCAGTGTGCGCGCTCAGTCACGCAAAAGCACGCGCCCTCGTTCTCCTGCCCTGTAGTCGCGGTGTCCCGCACAGCACGAGCACACGGTAGTCTGTTTCAGCACGGGACAGATCCTCTGCACTTCATTACTGCAATATGGCGAGAGAGGTAAGAAATGCGGCTCCTCCTCCGCTGCCTTTTCTCTTGTATTTCATGAACAAAACCCGAAAATGATATCCCTTCGTTTTTTACAAGAAATGCAGTCTTGTAAACTGAATGTCTTGCTTGCTGTTCCTCCGATGCATGTGGTTTCTCGTGGTTAATGTTAATGTTAATTGTTAATTCAATCTTTTCCACCACTTGGACTTGTCTTCTTGTGAATTGTAACTGAAATATCAGAGAGTCTTGCCAGGTTATCTTCAAGTATGAAAATATTTTCCATGCATAAGCTCCATTGCATTTACTTTCATTCTACTTTTTGAGCTCTGTAATAACAGGCAGATATGCATATTTGTTCATACGTAGTGTTTTTTCCTTGCATGGTCAATTAAGAAAACAAATGTCCTCCAGTTAAAGAATATCCAGTAGGCTCGAAGATGAGGAGGCTGATGGTGTGCTGAAGATGATGGAGCAGTCAGCACCATGGACAGGGACAGCCTCTCTCTGTCTTTCACACTGTCACTTCGAAATTGTCAGGAATGTGTCCTTGCATTTTAAATGAGCCACATAGTGAATCAGCTTTCCAATTCCCAGCTCTCATAAATAGAGCCAACATGATTGGCAACTCTGAACAGCAGAGGCACAGCGTCCATGACAGAAATAGTATTGTTCAGGCAGTGTCATAGCACAACTACAACAAACTGTGTTGCTGATGTATTTTTAGCCTCAGTAATGTCTGCTAGCTCTCAGGCCAGCATGCATGTGTTCCTCTCGTCCCCGTTGTGTCCTTGGTGATGTAACCATTACGCTGAAGACATATCTGCTTTAGTTATCATAATAATGATCTCCCTGGAAGAGCCATTTCTTTGCAAGAATGAGCCAGCATATAGTTGTGCCAGCATACAGTACATGCATGAGTGTAAATATATGTGATCATATGTATGTGAACACACTAAACATGCAATTTATGAGTGAGTGAAGTTGTAATTCAAGCTTAATGGTGCTGCAGGTAAAGGTGTAGTGACAATAAGCTGCACAGGATTCTTGCCAGATTTTTTCCGAGCCTGAAAGACATTGGCTGAGGGTCCCTGATTTTCCCTCTGGTGGTCTGCCAGCATCCCTGTCCAAGCCCCATCAATTACACACACGTGCATGCACACAACTCAAAATGCACATGCGAACAAACACACCCAGTTGGTGCAACCAGGAGAGATTTTATGTCCAAGGCCCATCAATTATCCATGACATATTTAATGTGAACAGGCTGCTGCAGTTTGTAACCATCAGTGATTGGAGTTAGAGATGAGCAGCATACCCAGCTCTCTGTCTCTCTTTTATATTATATTAAAACTCATTCTTTGACATTTTCGTGTATGCCAAGTCAGCAAAGGACCATGTTAAGTGACTGAGTAGCACTTAGCTCATCCTGCAGACTATTTGTGCTGCGTGGACGCTCTCTGGATCCATTAAGTCCACCAATTCCAGACCCTCCTCGCCTGTAGGCTAGCCCTGGCTCAGCATACACTGTTGATGAATAATGTGTTGAACCAGTAATCATCAGAGGCTGGCTCAGGCTCGGCTGTCTACTGAAACAATGCTCCACCTTTATCCAAAAGAGATTTCCTCTTTCAGCTTAGGCCCCAAAGTCACTGATCTTCCTCCAGATGTCATGGAAAGGTTACAGTTTTGTCAACACTGTCTTAAAATTAAACGATTTATAGACATATGGCTAGCGTTGCTTGGCAGAAAACAGGTCAAATGCTGCTCCAAATGGCAGAAAATCATTTGGACAGATGACAAGAGAGCTGAAAAATACTAGCTTGGAGAGAAGAATGAAACATCTGACTGAGTGTATTTGCTGTGCATACTGTAATTGTGTATGCCCTTTGCATTGCTGCCCAATGGCACTCACCCGTGCTGTCGTTTTACGTTGTTTGAGTCAGAGTGACGAGACTATGAAACATGTCATGGCATTGAGAGTAACGCTGACCCCAATATCCAGGCTGGAAGTCAGAGATAGGGAAGGGTATCTGAGTAGGAATGACAATGAAAATATGTGATTTAGTGACATCCATCCATCGCCATGAGAGGTCATTGATGCATCATGTGTCATTTTTCACTTCTGGTTTGAACTGATGTACTCTACAGTAGTTTGGTTCTTGGTGTTTCTTTTGTCTGGTGAGCCAGTGGCTTGTAAAATACATTTGTTTCTTTTGTTTGCTAAATTCATGATGTTTTTATGAACCTCTAAACTGGTTATAAGTCCTCCTTCTTTTTCTTATTTTATTTCTTCAACTGAGTACATTTCATTTTGCAGTTAATCAATGTGCAAACTAGAAGTAATGGATGTGTGGGTGGAAGGAGAAGTTAGACAGAGCTGCATGATGCACAGCTTCTTAATAGTCCTGTGTGATCAGTGTGACATTTTAACATTGCTGTCTGCTTGTGTGCTATACTTAGACACAGTAATAGGCTGGATTTGAACCCTGATCTCCCACGCAGAAAAGTAAACATCAGATCTCTGCCAACAGAAAACATTTATCTTTAAGGCTCTAATCTAAGTAACATCAACACAACATGACCAAATAAACATTTTATGTTTACGTTTTCTATTAACAAAACAGTGTAGGTGTTGGAGGATTTGGGCAGTTGAAAGTTATTTGAGAGTGGGTACCACGTTTAGGACCAAGTTATAACAGTGTAGATGCTATGACCCACATCTATAAACCATCAATCAGAACATGACATGAAATGACACAGAAGACACCGGCAGGCACAACCAGTCAGTTGTGACATTTAACTAGGACATCCACATTGGACGAATCACTTTTAATTGTGTCACACAAGTGTCCATGTTTGTTAAAAATCATGGGATTGTCTGGAGAGATGTTCACACAGAGATGTCTTTTTGAAGAAATAAAGGGACATGTTTGATTGGCCGCCACACACTCATGACACTTGCTTGCTTTGCTCAGCTGCGAGCTACATGTAGCAGAGAGATGTAAGAGGGAGGTCAGTAGGTCAACAGCGAGTCAAAACACACTGTGATGTCCCACTGGCCTGAAAGCTGAGCATGTGACAGTGCAGTTCAAGCTGCTGGGTTCCACTCAGGTCTGAACTTCTGTCAACTAAAGTGTCAGCATCCTTCTTCCTGTGTATTTGTTTCCTTAGACCTTATTTTCTTTACCTTTTTTCATCTTCATTTCCTCCCTTTCTTTTCTCACATCTTTTCAACTACAGTATCTTATTTCCTTCCTCAGGGACTTCCATAATTCCTCATTTCTTTCTTTGTTTTCCTTCCTTTCTTCTTTTTGTTTGTTTTTGCTGCCCTCCATTATCTCTTATTTCTTTTTTCTAACAATCCTGAAGCTTAAAAATCTACACAACTGGACCTGGATATCAGGTTTAAATCCTTCAGCAAACAGAACTATTAACTGCTAATATAAGTTTGAAGTAAACAAGTTAAAACTACTCAATTAAAAAATTGAATGCGAGACCTCCTCACCCAAAACAAATCTCACAGTAACGAACAAATTACCCTTATGGATCTTTTGTTTATCTCACTCAGCAAAATGATTCTTACTTGGATAAAGGATTCTCAATCGTGTGCTGATAATCGCTTCTATTAATAGAGTGACTTGTTGTTCATCATGATGGCCTGAAGATAGTGCGAGGAGGAGGAGGAGGAGGAGGAAAGGAGGGGGGGTGTTTTTTGAGATGAAGAACGCAAAAAGAAGGATATTCAAAGCTCTGGCAGACAGAAAGATCTATTGGCAGTGAGATGATTTTGGCTTTTGGCTGATAAAAATAGCTGCTTGGATGCTATTCTGGGTTGTGAGTGATATACTCTATATAGAGATGAAAGGCTGGCACTGTACTATGTCTGCTTACTTGGAAATGACTCTCTCCTGCTCAGGCAACCTCATAAACTGAAAATATGCTTGCTCTTAATTATAACAACACTGCAGTAGCTGGACAAACGATCCACAGAATAAAATGTAGTGAATATAATAAGCCAACAACTACAATCTGGCCGACGCATTCTGGGAAATATGGAGCAGAAATAAAGTTTTAAGCTCTGAATTAAAAATATGCCTCCTTATCTGTGTTATACTCAATTTTCACACACGCTTTTTGTTCATTCCCTTCTCCCTCCCTTTACTCTCCTATTGTATCTCTAATTGCCATCCTCTTGAGGGGAGTCATTTATATCAGCAGGGGGCATGTTACATTGGCCCACTTGGTTGCTGCTTTATTCCTCTCAGGGGGATGACTGTTTGGGTGTAAAACACTCCCCTCAGCACCAAAGTGCTGCAAAAGGATGTCTTTCAAAGTGTTATTACTGCAATTGGGTCCATTGATGCTGGAGGAATGAAGTGTTGGTGTAGTAACACAGTACCATTCTCACACTGTGTAGCCCTTATGTACCTGTGTTGTCAAGAAAAACCCTGAAAACCATCACCATTTTAACGTATCATAAAGAATTTATTTTAAATACAACTGATATGTTAATGGACCCAAGCCAGTGGAAGAACAAACCACTCTGACATTTTATTAAGACTGCCACTTAGTCACTTTAAGATGCAATTTTTCTGTGTATGAATTGAATGTTGTACTGTGTATGGTGATTGTTATTTTACCTTATTATCATCATCCAGTGCCAAAGCCAAATTCCCATTATATGTATATTTAATGGAGAATACAATATTCTAGTCTGAATGAACGTTGTGAGAGGGTTTTTGACCACTACACACAACACCAAATCAAATAGACCTGCTACTCTTGTACGATTATGTTTATATATTAATTTTGAACCACAAATTGAACACGTGTGCCTTTCTCCTGTTGTTTATCTGCTCAGTTTCATAACCTTCAGGAGCTGAGGCACAATGCATCGCTGGTCACCAAGGTGTTTGTTCAGAGAGACTACACTGAAGGAACCGTGTGCCGCTTCCAGGCCAAGTTCCCCTCCGAGCTCGACAACAGGGTGAGCACAAACACACTTACAGTATACACACATCCAGGCAAAATGTAATATGTTGACCAAAACCCAACTCACCTGAAGCAACACCCCCGTTCTCTGATACTGAAAGAGTGATAGCCCAATGTAGCCTAATAAGATCAAAATGGTGCTTCCCAATATGAAAGAACAGGTGTGAGTGATGGCTGTTGGTTTGTAAGGTATTTCCACCCCACAAAAGGATACAAACTTTGAGCTTTAATGTCCTGCAGTTCTAACTCAGCGGACAAAAACAGTATAAGTATTAGAAATGTATTCAACATGTTCTGATCCTCAAAAGAAAGTTGAATCTAATGAAGCCCTTCTGCTTTTTTTACACTCGCTTTAGGCTCTGGAGAATTGGTGCTGTTTATTTGCTCTTTTCACCTTTCCACATTAGCATCTGTGAATGCTGTTATATTGGGGTATTATTGTAGATTTGTCTAGTAATTATCATCTTAAGCAGACAGTCCACATAAACAGAGCAAAAAGGAAACATAAAACAGAGAGAAACACAGTGGGAGTCAGTGCAAAGGGGCCATTAGTGAGCGTTTTAAATGTAATGTTGTGCAAACCTCTACCGTCTGCTGTCACAGTTTAAAAATGTATCTTTTCATGTACATTTCTTCTTAGTTTTCACGTGAAGTTTGTTGAGAAATTCTCTGACAAAGCAGGAGTACTTTGGGTTGAGCAGATTGCAGCTGGTGTGTTTGGCAGGTCTTTTTTATAGCGGAACAGCCTGTTCCCACTGTTATGCCAGAAGACCTTCACAGTCCTTATGGTGTGTGCATGTCCATGTCCCTACCTGGATGTCTGTTTGTGTTTGTAAGTAGATTGAGCGAACCTTGCTCGAGGAGACGGTGAAAACGCTGAACTCTTATTATGTGGACGCAGAAAAAATTGGGGCCCAGTCGTACCTGGAAGGATGTCTGGCCTGTGCAACAGCTTACATCGTCTTCCTCTGCATGGAGACACGCTATGAGAAGGTACTTTCATACATTTCTCCAAAACACTTGTGTACCTGAAGGAACATTTAACTTTGTATCAATGAAAATATGGCTGCACATTAGGTTTGGGAAATATGTGTTGTAACAATGGTTTTGTAAACTGTTGTTTAGCTTTACACGGGTCATAAGGCACAATTTGTTACTTTGGAAACAGCTAGGCAAGTCTCTTCCCCCTGATTCTAGTCTTGTTGCTAAGATAGGCCCATGGGTATTTTTTTAATGAAGACATGTTGTTATTTCACAGCAGGAAAAGCTCCGGTGTAAATAATAAAGTTCGTAATGGCTGCATTTCATTTTGCTGCTTCAGTTTCAGGGTCCTGGTGTTATTCATCCTGGCTCACTGTCCCACCTCTATGGCTTACTGGGACACTTGAATAGAGCAGAGCCATCGATCATTTTATTGGTAACACCGGTGCTTTTCCTGCTATGAAAAGTGAACATTTCTGCTGTGGAAAAAGCCCATTGACTTAGGAATTTGCGCAATGCATGCACAGGCATTCGAGTGGTTGACGCCTGACTTTCCCAATGACGATTAATAAAAAATATATCCCATCTTATCTTACTGACCTATTTATCTTATCTTCAGCAAATGTTTCTTATCTGTTGAATTATTCCTTGGAGCTTTCTTTGAGAGCACACACTTTTTTTTATAACGCTTGTTTTAGTATTGCTTCCCAATGATCTTCTTTTTCCTGCAGCTAAATAGATCTCTTATAGAAAACATGATCATTATTCGAGAGGCCCCTCTTAAATCTTTTAAAACAACGTATGGATTGCAGAAATCTAATGAGGCCTTAAAGGGCAAACCCTGTTTGTCGCAGTTTACTGACACTGTGAACATAAAAAAATATATAAATATCCATTCATCCTTTTTCTGATCCGAGTATCCTGTTGAGGGTGGCAGGTGGATACAAATGATATTGTAACATGTACTGGATGAGAGCAAGGTTAACCTATGCTGAAATATATCACATATGGATGAGAGGAAGAAACTAGAACACCTGGAATAAATATATGCACACCCAGCATGCCAACTGTGCTGCAATGATAAATATGTAATCATTATGGAATTTCGTTATTAAAATATTAAAGTCAGCAAGGTAATTGAGTGGATCTGAGCTGAAGACGAATAGTCCATTTAGCTTAGGAACCTTCCTAACCGAGTGAAATGACCCGGAAGTCCCTCAGTGGCAGCCATGACAAGTGCCGTTCGAATTCTCTAGAATCTAGAGAATTAGAATAGTCTAGATGATAGGAAAGGAGGTTTCAAACTTCCTTTATAACCTCCTTTAGCTTAGGAACCACTGGACCTCCCTCACCGAAAGGAGAGGAGAAAATGCTGCCCCACAATGCCTTGCAGCCGCAGCATTTGCCGTCACACAACAGTCGGCCGTTCAAGGAATCAACCGATTATGACCGAGAAATTATATCATGAAAGTTACGGTGCTTATTAAGCATTTTAAAACATAGGTGGCAACTTGCCAAAGTGCTTTGTTTTGAACGTTCATCAGTATTATAATCAAAAAGAGAAATATGAACGTTAGTTTTTACTGAAATTATCAAATAAAGTCAACATTTCACTGAGCTGTGTGGGGTTTGTTCAACTTTTAAAAGATGTTTGAATGGTGATGTACACAGTGATAGGTGTTAAGGACTAACGTTTATAATAAATACATTTGTATTGATTTTAAGATCTTTTCATAGTTCATACAATCATACGTATTGGGATCATTTGTATTAATGTGGACCGGAGGGAGAGGGTGACGAGCATAAGTTTCACTTTCCTTTTTTATTTCAATTCCAACTTTGGTCATGAAGAATATGTTTCTCTGTTGTCCACGTTCATAAAGCAAAGCAACAGCATCAGAGCACGGTGCAGAGTCTTAGATGAGTCCGTCGTTCTTATTAAACATCCATGTAGTCCGCTGTATAGAAAACTGTAGTTTCCATAGTTTCACCACAGCAGCAGACGCACACAATGACGTCCGCTGGCGCATCATAAACACGTCGGATAGTAAAAGTGCATTCGGATTCGGAAGTACCGCAGTCTCTTCTCCTAAGTCCTTTTGAATTCTCCTATCCACTATCCCTTAACCCCGTGACGTTTCGCTCAGAGGTCAAGGAATAGACGATAGGGTTAGAATTTAGGAGCTGATTTTTGGACTATTCGACTGCAGCCCTGGATGGGTTACATTGACCTCCACCTTATAAGAATCCAGAAGATCGCCTGGTACCTGGAAAAACCCCAAAATTAGGAGATTACACTCGATTCTCTCTCAGCTGTTCGTCCACATGTGTGCTGGTGCACAAGGCATGGCACGCCAACTGTAACGTGACATTTACCTGCAGCAAAACCAAGATGTCCATCTGTAGAAAGGGCAGGTGACTAAACCTCTTTGTTGCAGCATGTCGCTACATGAGATGGAACACCTGCACACACACACAATCTCAGACACATGCACAGGGAGTTTGATTAACCTCTTGTGACTTTGTCGGTTGTTTTAGATTAAACTAGAGTGGCGTGAAGTCCCAGCATGCCTCTGTGTTCTGATCGTTGTCACCCGCAACATTCATCTCCCTAGTTTTGTTGCATTCTGTAAACATTTCTTTATCAAAGCAGTACAGAGATACTTGGAGCTTGACCTAGGAGCACAAAAGGACATGTTGCTGTCATGAAGCCATGCGCAAACGCATTGGTCTGAGCTGCTTTCATCTCCTCGTCAGCTGGGTGCCGCTCCATTGAGACGCTAAGATGCCATCAAACACACAGGAAAGCTGTTTATTTACTTGTTTAACTTAACCATCTTGGCTGAATGATGTTGCGACTGACAATGATCAAATATACCCACCCAAGTTGATGCTGTTTGTGCGTGTACGTGTGTGTGTGTGCTGATAAAGAGGCCACACACCAGAGAGCGTGGATCAGTGTGCAGATTCATTGGAGCACCCAGAGCCCTTGATGCTTACATCTCACCCTATCAAAGGACACTGATTGCTCCCATCATGTCAGAACAGATACATGTGCACACAAGCGTTCAGAAAGCTTCCCTCACACACAGCATGTGCCCTCATCTCCCATTTTTTTGTTCTTCTATTATTCACAAGAATGTGCCTGAACACTCGGGTTTCAGTGAGACACACATAATTCCCTTTATATTGCACTTGGTGACATAAACAACTTTCTTTCTTGCAGAGGAATAAACACTCGCGGCATGCATGTGAAACAGACTGTGACACCTTTGCTTCCTAGGCGATATACACACACTCTTAAAGCTTTTTCTAGAAGGGCTGTAACAGACAAGCCAGCACAAAGTGGCACAGCTTGAGTACTTAACTGTCATATTGTTTCGCTGAAGTGACACGATTGGCTAGCCGTGACACGGTTGGCTTTTCGGGCCACAATAAATAATAAGGCTCCTCTCTATGATGCTGTATTCTCTTTGATGGAGTTATAAAGCAATATTGATACCTTAACCTGAAATAGATCTGACTGATTTAAGGCAGCACAATGGAGCAAACCGCTGCCTTTTGATAGCTTTTCACTGAGAAATGTACTGTGTTGTTTTCTCCTCAATGTTAAATCTTTCCAGGCATTTCATTGAAAACACATCTTCTTTTTTGTCTGCCAGTTGGAGATAGAAAGAAGTATTCTTCTGTGGTTTTGGTCTCCTCTAGCAGGGGTCACTATATTAGCAGCTGTGCCTGCAGCTGTAACAGGCTTTTGACATCCCAGAGGAGCGCTGCTCAGTGTGTTGCTCACTCTCTATTGTTTTAACCTGTCAATGCTGAGTGCTACACTGACCTTTAGTTAACTCAAATATGTGGAACTGAATATTTCATGTTTAATAAATCAGAAACAAAAGTATCCCCAATACAGCATACTTCAAGTGATTGCTGTAGTTTTTCTACGGATTCTATTGTTGTTGTTTTAACAATCAATTGTTAAAAGAAAATCCCTTGGAAAGAAAGACAAGTAATGATACATGTTTTAAACAAACCCCTAAATTGGCCTGACTTTCAGGTGCCATCAATGTCAGGGTTGCATCCTAAAGTTGTAGACAATATGGTTAAACTGGTTTCTCATTGTATATACAGTAGATAATGTTGTGGTCTTTTTCTTAAGTTATACAAATGTGTGTTGTCTTAGTAGAGACCCCAGATGTGTTTCAGATTGCCTCTCTCTTTAGGAGTGGTGACAGCTCTGTCAGTGTACATGAGGCCCAGTGGAGCGTGGGTTGGCTGATTGACATGGTTAGGCAGAGTGTAGAAGAGGCATGGCACATCAGCCTTGTTGATGTCCACAGAGGCATATCTGAGGCTGAATAAGCTGCTCTAATGATGCCACTTTGGCTATCATCAGTCCATTTAGCATCTCCACGCATCAGTCAGGAGTCATTTGGTTGCTATCAGCGGGACCATGGGACTGCTTCCCAGTGCTACGGTTTTGTTAAACTCTCTAAACAATGTGTGTGGTTGTAATGCGTAGAGTAATGTAATACAGGCATGCTTGTTTGAATTTCTGTGCCGAGGCACGGTTTGAACTTGGTGCTCAGCTTCGCTCCACTGCTGTTCTTGGGTATATAGCACACATTTGATCCAATACTCACTTGCAAAACTGAGATATACAGTAAGTCCAGTGCCAATGCAATCCAAATAAACTGTCCACCTCGCATTGTATAGTGTTTCCGAATTGACCCGACAGTTAACCAAGGCAGGACATTTAGCCCGGGAGAGCCATATTTGGAATCAGGAACCATGGCTTCCAAATGGAAAACTTCAAAAAGAGAAAAGCTCAAGCTTGTACTTTTTACTAAACTAATACATACAGCCTTGCTTGACATGAGTGGCCTAGAAATATGTATAAAATAACTTCCGTACTTTGAGCATAATATAATTACTTTGAGTTTAGATTATAATGTTCAGGAAAAATAGAGACAGGCAATGAGTTTCAGTATTGTATGCGGTTAGTTACTGCAGCCCTGCCATGGTTTGGCGTCTTTTTATCTACATGGTTACACAGAGTGCACTTTGAAAAGCAATATGCAGGTAATGGGTCCCCTGTTAGAATGTCTGTACAGGTTATTTTCTGCTGGATCACATCTTAGGCTTGTTTCTTTAGGTTTTCACTATGCCTCCAATGGATCTAATCAAATCTTGATTGTCTCCAAATGTACCTCTGTCCTTTTTCTTACCCCTCACCAACCCTCTTGTTCTACTCCAGGTGCTGAAGAAGATATCAGGATACATCCATGAGCAGAATGAGAAGATCTACGCTCCTCGAGGTCTGCTGCTGACAGATCCCGTAGAGAGAGGAATGAGAGTTGTATCCTTCACTCATCGGCTGCCCAAGAGTGTTCAAAAAGAATAACTGCTGAACAGAACAGTCAGTGATATAAAGACTGAGATGAGGTTGCAGAATTTGGGAGTTTGCAGAAACCAGGCTTCGGGAAAGGTGACTAGTTAGAATCAATTGAACTACTAGCATCATGTTAGTTGGATGAATTAAAAAGGAACACTCTTTTCTCATAAATTACTGTCAAGGTACCCTTGAACAAGGCACTTAAACTCCAGCTGTTCAATGGCCAGCTTTCATTCCCAGGAGTACATTTAAAGGAGGGCAAACCTGAAAAAAGCACACATAAGATGTCCTTTGACGAGAAAAGGTGAAAAAGTAGTGATGTGATGAATCAGCAGCCTGAGGTGTGTATGCACTTGCGGTTCTGTGTTTTGTTTGCTCAGGACATTTTGTTCTTTTTTGCTGTGCCAAAACAGGGTGGTCTATCACAATCTTTTCAAATGTTTCTAACTCTTCACAAGGCTAATTTTATGGTATTTTATAGTTTGCAGAAGAAGCCAGATGTGAACATCTCTTTGTTAGTTGGAGTTAACCCAACAAAGTTCCTCATGAAGTTAAAAGTCAAAAGGAGAGAGAGAATGTATCCAGTAGACCATCACATAAACAAGCTCCAAGTCACAGGGCCAACCTATTAGCCAACACACCCCGGTACAATATAGTCTCTGTTCGTGGATGATAGAGACCTCAATCCCCCAAAGACCAGCACAACATGTGTCTCACTTCTACCTCTTTTACATGTTTCAACATACTGTGATTTGACTCAAAAACCCTCGAGTTGACAAATCTGCAACTTATAGTTTTGAGAAGTTCTGGGGTTTATTTTTACTTGTCATGAGCTGTTCCAGATTCTACAATCTTTTTCAAGCCAAAACAAGATGCAATTGTATTTGGAGCACATTGGAGACAATCTGAGACAGGAGATAAGCATTACCAGGAAACTTGGGATGCAGAGCGGGGCAGGAAGCAGACACACACACACACACACACACACACACACACACACACACACACACACACACACACACACACACACAGGGACTTCTTCTGTTTGTTTTTTGTAAAACACTGAGCTCTCAAGTAGAACATTTTCACAAGTCACCTCATCTGAGATTAAGTGTTTATTTTTGTGCACACCCACATCAACATGGGATGAAATGTAGTGTGAGCAATACAGAAAGAGTGGTGGTCTGCTTTAGCTTTACACATTTAAGTGTGCAGAGGGTTTAAGTATGAAAGAATACAGGGCTTTTGTAATTGTAACTGTATTTGAATACCCTCAGTCATGATGATCCTTGACGTTCTCCCTGTCCTCAGCTGGAGATCAGTGTGTTTGAAGACCAGGGCTCGGGCAGCTCCAGTCCCAGCAGCAGCATGTCATCGGCGGGCAGCAGTGCTCGGTGACTGGAGGGTCAGCGCCAGGATTACGGGTTCCACCACAGGGGCAGCGGGACGCTTACCAACATCCGCATGCTGAAACATGAGAGCACCAGGTTCTGAGACAGGTGGAGAGCATAAAAGACGAGGAGGTGATCCACAGCATTCACACTCTCCCTGCTTGGGCCTACAACCTCGAGAACAGGATCTGGCTTATACACGGGATAACAGAATAAAAACTAGTGCAGTAGCCAACTCTCATTAAGGGAACATCTCTCACTCTCCAATAGCTATCCAAACCGACAAACTCATGATTTACTTTCCTCCTATTTTTCCATTCGCCTTTTCTCTCATTCCATCTTGTCTGTTTCCATGAGTCACCAGCATCTCTGTCGAAGGGATGATTCAGCGGGCTTAATCTTGATTAGGCTGGATGGCAATGCTTGATTGTTTTCACAAGGGTCTCTATCACTAGTATAGTCTTAGGTCTGTGCAGCAGCTCTGAAATCTGGAAGGAGGAAAGCGTCCTGGGGGAGCCATGTTCCCCTGTCTCGCTGAATGATTGTATTCACGTCAGGTGGCTGGCATCAGGCTCTTTGAATTCTGCTGTGGGACCCTCTGTTCTCTATGCTCTGTTCACACACATTTGGCTTCAATATCAAACGGCAAACAAAGAGCACCTTGGATTATTTATCTTTCTTGTTTACAGCAGTGGACGGTAGTGATCCACATCACAGCTGTAGGTTACATAAAGTCATACGAATGTACACAACCATGACCAATTACTCATACAGACACTAGCAAGGGGACATGAATGCACACGCATACACACACAGGGCTAAGTGTTCCTACACACAGATCCTGGCAGGTGTGGAGACACATTTTTCTGTGGTCTCAGCTCATTGGGAACGCAAGCAAACCCAGGCCCTGTTTGCCTGCTCTAGTTTCCCTGGTAGTGTGTACATGGGTGTCTGTGTGTATCTGTGTCATCAGTCCAAGCCTTACTGAGTATAAGATTAAAGCCTGTTTCGTTAAAAAGACGTCAAAGACTAAAGATCACTGTCTCTAATGAGAACTGACGACTGGCATCTTTGATTCAGGGAAGAGAAAACAGTGTGGAATGATGTTTCTACAGCGGGTTGTGGTCTGTCTACACTGCTAATGTAGATGCAAATACATTTCTAATCATACAAATACAAAAAGACATTCAGCCATAATATATTTGTTTCTGACAGGCACAGGAAATACTAAGAACAGAGCGCGATTTAAAATGTCTTTATCATCAGAGTATTCCGCTTCATTGATGCCATCTGTCATTTGTTATCAGAAATGTTGGGGTTTGCAGTTATTGCTCCCTCTAGGGTCCGACAGAGGAAATTCTGCGATTCCCAAATGATAAATCCTTAAAACGATTGAGTGTAATGACAATAGTGGATTAAATAATTTCTCTCTCCTTTAATGAAACTTACCTTTGAAACCACTACTCATCCACCCTGCAGGCTTGTTTTTAAAACAACCTCCGCAGTACACACGAGACAATGAGAAGCATGGCATTGAGACAATGAGACAACGGGAAGCATATTCTGTTTTGTCTTTTGTGGGAAATAGTACATCCTGTCTGGCTTCTGTGTGAGTGGAGGCTTACAAGACAAAAGATCATCACCATGTAGCAAAAATATTGATACCAGCCACACAACATCAAGACATCACTTGAAAAAACAAGCTCTGTTTGATTGTCTAGATTTTTTATTCCATGTTCCCACAGTTTGTGTCTTTTACCATTTTCTGTTTTGTTTTCTTTAATCTCGCCTCATAACATCATGTTTAAATCAACTCTGGGAGTGTAGCCCTTTTCCTTTACTTTAGCCACAAAGTTAGCTTTGATCAAAACCACCCACTTGTCAGGTTGAAGTTAAACCGCTCACTGGAAATTTGTTTTAGAATTAAAGATGTTTTGCTGTAGTGGATCATTTAATTTCGACCAGACCTTTTCCTATCTGAATGAGATGAACCTCCAAATACTTTTTACCGCAGCAGTGGAGTGCCGTTGTGCTTGTGTTCAGCCTCCTGTTCTTTTTGATGCCTTCATGTTTCATGCCAGTGGAATGGATACCCAACCTGGGGCTGATAGATTGAATAAAAACTGACTTAACAGTGCCAATAAGCAAGTAAAGAAGCTCAATGGACAATGTATAAACCCGAATGCGTGCACACATTGAGTGTGTATGAACTGTACAGAAGAAGAACTTTGAATTGTACTGTACATGTAAAGATAAGAAGTGAAAGGAAATGCCATAATGCTATTTAATTCCAAAACATCACTGTTGCCCAGTATTAGTCCCTCAATACATTTTCAATGTTTTGATATCCTCTCTAGTTTGGGCACCAAGTGACAGAGCAGCTATGAAAGCATATCGTCTGTACAGCTGTGTGCTGCTGGGAATCATCTGTAAAAATGAAGATAACAATTAGTTATGTGAAAACTGTCGATAATGTAGCTTATGATAATGTTAGTAATAATAACAATGTTAGTTGTTATTGCATAGTGGGTGATGATGATCCTCAGGGGGAAGTCTGTGTGCCAAATTCAAAGCATAAAGCTCTTTAAATGATATGTTAAAATGTACAAAGACATGTAAAGTTGTACGTTAAACAAATCTGAACCTATCCTTTAAGGCTGTGGTAAGAAAGAAACACAGTGTCCCATATTTGAAGGCTTTATTCTTTCAAAAGCAAGTTATTTGATTAGTGAAGAGAACCGAGGGAGTGAAGGTTACAATATTTAATGTATTCTCATAAAAAGATGTACATTGAGATTATCACGGAGCAGATTAAATGTTGAGTCTTGATCCTCTATCATGCTGACTATCAAGATAACCTCTATGCCAACCCTTGTCTTTAGAGGAGAAACTTGTGGGCCAAGTGATGATGTAAAGTACATTTTTGTATGTTAATTCCCACGTGTCATATTTATCTTGTACTGTATTTGAGAGTGCAGAACTGTTGAGTCCCCAGTAATGTATGTATGCTAGACTGTGTCAAGAAAGAGATGATTTATATTGCAATATAATATCTTCCTCAAAGTGTAAAAGATTATGTTTAGTGTTGGTATCAGCCTCTTGGAGTTGCTTTGAGTCCTGCATTGATGTATAATGCTGCATGATGTGTGTGTGTGTGTGTGTGTGTGTGTGTGTGTGTGTGTGTGTGTGTGTGTGTGTGTGTGTGTGTGTGTGTGTGTGTGTGTGTGTGTGTGTGTGTGTGTGTGTGTATAAACACAGCGAGTGCCAGAAGTGAAATCCCTGAGCAACAAAACCCAGATTGGTGGTGCTAATAGGAGAGAGGAATTGATATCTTATCTTGATGCTATTTATGTGTTTGAATCAAGTTATTTATTTGCTGAAATGGATTCATATATTTTCTTTTCTCTTAAAGCCGATTATTATTCAAAGCCTGTGGAGAAGAGTTTCAGCTGTCTCCATGAGATGAATAAAGTGTCTGGAGAAGTAAAATGGAAGAGGATAATTGTGACTGCCGTTTGCTGTTAACAAGGATCCATGCTGCGTGTCTGCTCTGAGTTCATGTGCGGTAACACGAGGTCTGTCTCTTACACACATTTCTGTGGATGTCCACAGAAGGAAACTCTTCGATGATGCCGAGTCATGTCACCTGAGGGTGGGACCTCCAGATGGTCCGGACTGGGAGGTAAACTCTCTGGCCACGAGCCTCGGCTTCCTCACACCTTAGCTGGGGTGAAATGGAACTGAATACATTTACTCAAGTAATGTACAGTTTGAGGTACTTTTACTTTTAATTTTCCCCTACTTTATTTCTACTTTTATTTTCTATCTTTTAAACTAAATAATGTACTTTTTACTCCACTACAGTTATTTGGCAACAGTACCTATTGGTTACTTGGTACATTCAGGTTAATAATACTAACATCCCAAATAAACTAATCAATTATATTGTATTATTATCAATAAACAGCCAAGTAATGTACACATTATTGCAAAACGTAATCACTACAATACAGAGTACATTTTTTATGTTGCTTTTCGCTGCAGGTCTTTTACTTCTTTCACATAAGTCTACGTTCTACACGTTGTTCTGCTCGGTTCTTAAATGTATCACTCTTGATCTCTGCTGTTTATGATTTGTAGTCGTTTAATCTAGTTTTTGGTCTAAATCTTATTGGTGTTAGGTAAGTTAAGAAAATATGCCATTGGGATGAAATAGGTAAATGTTTTGGCCACTTGGGGGCAGTGGAACAATTTGTGAAAAAACCACAAACTAAAACATGTTGAGTTACCGGAACACACCCAACACATTAATACCCAAGGTAGGCAGGGTAACTAAAGCAGAACATTTACATTTAAGAGCTTAAAGGACTTGAACTGACTTTAGTTTGGGATTTATACAATTAAGTTTTAACTATCGCAAAAAAAAGGTTTACAACAGTTGTTCTGTAGGTTCAAGGACGATGTGCTGTCTGCAGAACTTTTAATGAACCCAGCAGAGAATGAGCATATTGAGGGTTTTTTTAAGTCAGAACTAAATGTCAAAATCAGCACACCCCAAAGTGGCATAATTTAAAACACTCTGAATTATCATAAACAGTAGCAGATCATGTTTGTATTGGAATTATTGACACATTCAGACAGCTATAACTGAATTACTTTGATACTGAAGAAAACGTAAGATCTTGATGATTACTAGACTCAGTCTGGAGTTATTAGTGTCCTTTTTCGGTGATTTCCAAGCATAGAATGTATAGAATGTCTGTTTTCAGATTTGACTTTGTGATGCCAATTGTTGCCCATGCCTCAAAATGTTCCCTCCACGCTGTTAATGTTATCACTGCCCCCAAGTGGCCAACAATTATTTAAAGTACGTTTAGTACCGACTTGTTTCATTAAAAAATGTTTGCAGAGATGACTGTCCAAACTGCTTTTTGTACCTGTGTGTATGTGTGAGAGAGTGTGTCTAAGAGGTGAAAGTAGATCCATCATAGCCTGTTCATAAGGCCAGAAATGTAGCGATAGCGTTCTGGCAGATATTGAGGCTTACTGTTGATCACAGGAGTGGAGACAGAAGAGTAGCGGTGAGAGTGAATTGATACTTTTTTAAAGACAGCAGAGATGTGAAGAAACCTCTCAACACCTGTGGGGAAAGGTCACTCTCACGCTAACAAGGTGCTCTCTCCGTATACACAGACCTCCTTTGTTGCTTAAAATCTTTCCCCCCCCACCTTCTACTAAAGATTGTTTTGAGTTTCCAAGTATAAAAATTCCTCGTCCTTTGGCTGCACGACACTTTCTCTGTCTACTTCCTCCACGCCCTTCCTGCTCTTTCATTCCTTGTTCTCTAAACAGGAAAAAAGCGGCCTGCTTTAACTTTTCCAAAAATGTATTTTCAGTCTGAGTCACGGATGCCCCGAAAGGGAAAAAAAATCGGTTTCTGGTATTGATTGGTTAAAATGTTTATTCCTGCATATGACAGAAAATCAGTATCACACCGCTGCCTCTGTGTTCCAGGAACATTTTGAATGGCAGCGGTGCTTGGCACACACAGAGGAGACATTATAGTGAAGTTCACAATTGTGTGCTGGCATGAAATGCATCAAGCATGAAGCCCATAAAGAGAAGCACTCTGCATCATAGAAAAATCCAGACTATAGCAACATTAGAAGAGGAAGTTTACTCCTAAATTCTGCTGTTGACACTCACCCGTGACCAAATCACACACAAATGCACAATTAGTTCAGCCCCCTCATCTAAAACTAACAAAACAGGAATTCAGTCACATAGAATAATGTGTTAACTCTGTCTGTCTGCTGCAGAGTCTCTGGAGTCATCCAAACTCTGGCTGTGCTCACTCACTCAGGCCCACCAAACATTTATCCACATCTGCCCAAATTCAAGATCAAGATGAGTAATGATTGTGCATTAAACCACTGTTTTGAAACAGAGAGATTCACTGCTACCACTCCCCTCAGAACACAGACATTCTGTATGCAAAACCCAACCTATGCACAGACCATTTGAACATGTGAATGTTGCATCTAATTTTCAACATTGGTTTTGAGATTCTGCCATGAAAACCACAGTGCTGAGTCACTCTTTGAAGGGACAAAGAAGTAAAACATGTTGGAAACTGCAGGATTTTTCTCTCCCGTTTTTAGCACACTTGATTTATTGTGCACAGCCTAGATTTTGAGACTCTCCTTTAAATCGATTTTTTTCCCACTGCTATTCCACTGCCCCGCCTGTTGGCTTTGGATTGAATATCTGCTCCGTTTGTTTAACCTCAGAGTGATTGACAGCTCTTGTGTTGGGCTTACCACAGGACCTCCCTCAAGTGCAGCCCAGAATGCTACATAGAAACATGGAAACACAATGTTAAGCATCCGAGGCTGGAATGTGTGGTTTCTGTTAAGATGTCACTTCTGATCACCTTTTTTAACTGTGACAGATAGAGGTTGTTGTGTGTCGTTATTTTTAGATCTGTCACTAGTCTGCCCTCCTAATCTCGTTAATACAGATAAGTGTAGGTAGATAGATTTATGTGTAGGCTTACAATTAGCAGTAAAAACAATAAACCATTACCTACTTAACAATTAGCTTTTGTGTGTAATGCCGTTCATGCCCAAGTGGTTGTTAAAGAAACTCAATCTTTAATCTCATTGACTTGTTTTAGTGGTTGGCCATGGTGAAATTAATCAAATAAATTAAAATCAAATGAGATGATCTCAGGCTATTATAGGCAGGGACGATGAGGCTTTAATTTGATCACAGGCTACAACGATCCCTAAAGCATTACTAGAATTAGACTTGCAATAGCCTGGAGACAGGAGACAAGAGTTTGCACACCGCACCACTTCACTCAGCCTGCTTGGTTGATGGAGTCAGGCACAAGCTTGTTTTCACAAAACCAAACCAAAAATAAACGTACATTCTCCGGCTGCAGCTAAAAATGAATGTCCACTACAGTGTATACATCCACATTTATACAGCTTTTTCTCCTCATCTCCTTCCGCTCCTTTTTTCTGGTCATTACCATACAGTACAAATATTTTCTGAACATGTATATCTAATCTTCTGTCCTTTTCTGTGAACATTTTATGGAGTGTGTACATTGCATAATTGCTGTTTGTGGGAACATTTTTGATTAGTGGTCTGATGCATGCAAAAAAAAAAGGCTTTTGTATTATTTTTCCACATGGATCAAAAGCCCACACAAACAGGCTACCCACACACACCCAAACACACCCAAACATCCACTGAAACACATTGAGCATTATGTTTTATGGATCACTGGGAAATCTCCACTCGCAGTTTATTTTAGCAGAAAGTAACACAGCTGGAGCCTCTGAAATGCAAACAATGCAGTGGCAGTGACAATGACACTAGGGCTGCTCGATTATGGCAAAAATCATAATCTCGATTATTTGGGTCAATAATTGATATCACGATTATTAAAAACGATTATCCATTTACTTTGAAAACATCAATTTATTGGAAAAAGAAATGTGAACAGTATGTTTTTAACAGTTGGGTACCCTGAACTTTAAGTATAATTCAACTGAAAAAACAAAAAAAGAAAAGATTATTTAAAAAAAAAAAAGAAGTAATAATAATAAAAAAATAATCGTTTTGTTTCAATTACGTTGTTTTCGTAATCGTTGCAAGCCATAATCGTAATTGCGATTAAAATACGATGAATTGAGCAGCCCTACATGACACACACACACACACACACACACACACACACACACACACACACACACACACACACACACACACACACACAGGGCATCCATCCTGCAGTTCGTCAGCGATCACTCAGTGTCACTGTTAAGGTACATTACAGTTTCAGAATAACTGGTCTGCTTTAAGTGGAGTCTATTCTGTTATTGTATTTACTGAATATCCCATCATTCTTCTACCTTTCATTAGTCATGTACTTCCACTGTAGACACACAAATATAAGTCTTGTTTCACGCGAGTGGTTGAGCGGAGTAATCCATCACTGTAGTAATCCATCACTGTGAATATTGTGTTTTTATTTAATATCTTTAGCACAGCTTCACATTTTAAATAAACTTCAGTTTTACTGGACATAGCAAAGCTTCATAATGTTGAATAGAGTCTTGTATAATGACCTGTGTATCCCCTGCATGTTTGAATGAGTAGATACAGTAAATACGGTTAACGGTTTGTTTGGTTGCATATTGCATGTACAAAAAGTTGTACAACAATAATGTGTTTTCTGTTGACAAAAAATAATTTGCTGAAATGTCACAATCCATTTAAACACATATCGGAAAATATACAAACTGGATTCACACAACCATGTCTTTGACAACAGATTACTACATTGTTATGAGTTTGTGTAAAATGTGCTCAATAGGGTTAAAAACACGGGTTTGTCCTTTTAAAGCGTGCAATTTTGATAAACAGATATGGATCTCATCGTTCATGCAAACTGTGAGTTTTCACATAGTCTGACCCAACAGTGTC